ATTAAAAGATAATTTACTTTTTTTGCTGTCAATCGCCCCTCTTAATGTATTCCTACAGGGAGAAAAAAGTTGGGGAGAAATTACCAAACAAGTCAAGTAATCGTGGAGCAAGATTGGAGCAGTGCGAGATTAATAGTGAATTTGACTCCATTGACCCGAGATAATTTACTAAACGTGAGGATGATTTGTACCAAAACTGTAAAATTTACCCTGCATCCCATCAAAAATTATCCCAATGAACGCGAATAATTGTTCCAATTTTTCGTATAATTTTTCTGTAACGAAGAATGATTTTGACCGAACCCGTTTTGTAAAAATCCACTACCGTCCGTCCCCATGATCTTCAGATGGAAACAAAACAAACAATTCCCTACCGATGGAAATTTTACTAAAGAGGAGGATAATTTTTGCGCCTCTAGATGTGTTTTTTTACTGAGAAAATCGTCAGATATCCACTAAAAACGAGTATTTTTTCACTTAATTACATTTCGCTGCACGATTACCATTCGTATAGTAAAATTTGTCACGTGTTACGTCCCAATCGTTTCAACGATGTAACTAGTGGGACACTAGCGCCAATTCAAAAATTAAGCGCCACGTTTGAGTANGTAGAGGTGGAGGTACGTGACGTCACGTCTCTTGGGGGAAGGGACTCATGAGCCCGACATCGACGGACTGGGCAGGGGCCACACGTGTTTGGGATTAACCTTCGCTAGAGCCACTTGATAGCATNCGCCAAAGCTCTGATGAGCACTCCATCGAGATTCAATTTAATAGTTGACAAGATTATTTATGTGAAGCAGGTTGATAGACGAAATAACGTGGACACTGATGATTTAGGGAGCACTGAACACACTTTATTTTAATAAAGTCAAGACTTTAAACGATCAAAGAATAAACTCAATAAAACACTTGTGGACTTAACAAATTGAAGAGAGAAGCAGCAAGCAGAAGGCTTGTGTAGGAACTGACTTATCCTAAACTTAAACTTCCAAGGGTTGGGTCCAACAACCCCCACTAATCTAAGAGTTGCGCACGCAAACTAGGCCCTGAGGAAAGGGAAAAGAGAAAACGGAGAAGCGGAAAAGGAGAAAAGGGGAGTATTTTGCGTCGCAGGTTTTCCTCTTGGAGGGACTCTAGGCCCTCAACCAGGGGAACACAATGAACAAAAGGCACCACACGTGTTGCGCACGTGAGGCCGTAAAACTGTTGATACAAACAGAACTCGAGATCGTGACGAGTGAGGACCGTAACTGTCCAATAAATTCGACCCTAAATTTGACACCTAGAAAAAGTGTTTACTCCACGAGAATTTGGAGAGCTATAAAATATTCTAACAAATCGCAGACCCAAACACTCGAGTCTAAAATTCCATCAACAGTTTATTCTCGCTTAAAAGTTATTGCTTTCCCTTGTTCATTGTACTATTCTCCCTCAATTCTCAACTCCGGATTACGTCTAATAATTTGAATTATTCAAACCTGATTGGAATTTCGCGGACTTAATCAAACGATCTATAGCGCCATCTCTCGAGTCAATGTCGGGACATCACACACGTGTTATGTCCTGGTGAATAACTAAAGTTATTCCCCAGCAACGAGCGCCAAAATTCAAAAACTACCGTGGAAATCGCCTCGATCTGGATCCGTCTGCTACCAAAGCCCTGATGGGCACTCCAGCGAAGAAAATTGGGAAAAATAATTGTTGGAGGGAAATTTAAACACTGATTTGAAAAAAATTAACACAAAAGTGCTAAGGGAGCACGTAACAATCTATTTATTTCGACTTGACTAACTTCTAACTTGGTATTTTAAAGGAGACAAATTTAGGTGTTCTCGCTGAACGGTAGGGTGTAACTAACTCTAACTTAACTCTAAGTTTTCAGATCTTGGGGCTGAAACCCCTCCCTACTCCTTCGCACAGGATGCGCGCGCAATTGCTTACTGTTAGGGGTAGAGGTGGAGGTACGTGACGTCACGTCTCTTGGGGGAAGGGACTCATGAGCCCGACATCGACGGACTGGGCAGGGGCCACACGTGTTTGGGATTAACCTTCGCTAGAGCCACTTGATAGCATCTCGGGTTTTTCCCGAAGCAGCTATAAAGTAGAATTTTCGGTCTTCTGGGTAAAACCCCAATAAAAAATAGATTTTATTTATGACAGTGAAGTGTCGGATTTGAAATAAAATGTGCGCCAGAGGATTTCTCCTTTATGGTTCATTTTCCCAACGACCGTTCTGACCCTCTCCCCGTGTGCCGCCCGGGTTTTTCCCATCGCCCTTTCGAATTTTCTCCCATTTTCTAATTTTCGTAAAAATACTTTTTTAAATTTTTTTTTATTTGAATAAACCGCCAAACTACACTAACGCCGCGCCTAGGAACTTAGTCGCGACGTCACACACGATTCCCTAGGGAATTTTCCTCATCCAAATGTCAGCTAATAGAATAATTGCACTATTCGACTATTATTTCATATAGTCAACATGGTATTCAGCTGATAATTTTTGATAATTCAACTAATTTTACATGACAACTAATTTCATGTAATTTTTCATGTTGACTATATTTGTGGAAAACAAAAGATTCCGTGGTCGAGTGAACCCCTGGTTGGAACTGTCAGATGGTTTTTGTTTCATAGTGCAATTCTTTTGGCCGACATTTGGATGGGAAAATTCCCTCCCAAATACTAATCGAGCTTCAAAATTAATCGAGTAATTCCCTCAAGGTTCTCTGCACACAAACGAAGTTGTCAAGTTTTTCAGGAAAAATCACTCGTGTTTCGCACTCGTGATTTTTTAACCTGAAAAACTTGACTCCTTCGTTTGTTTGCAACCAACCTATCGGGAATTGCTCGATAATTTTGAAGCTCTCGTGGTATTACTTGTGGTAATTTTTATCCAACTGAAAAACATTTTTACAGATGCCGGGGATTGAACCCGGTATCCTATAAAACCATTTCTCGAAATTGCGAGGTATCGATTTTTTTAATCGAAAATGGAAATATCGATTATCAATGCAAACAACGGTCGAGTATCGATTAGAAAAAAAAATGACAGTTTGTGTTGATGAAGATTGAGCAATTGATAAGATTAAAAAACTTTGCCGGGCGCGCGAAGCGCGCTTTATAATGCTAGTTATGAACTAAGCTAAAGGTAGGGATGGGCGATGTTTTTGAAAAGATCGATTATCAAAGAATCGGTGTTTTTTTAACATCGATGTTGGGAATCGATTTTTCTGGAAAAACATCGATGTTTTTTTTCTAGTAACATCGAAATTTTTTTTTTTATAATCTGTTTAATGCCATTTTTATTGAAAATATATATTTTAAAATATAACCCGACGAACTAACGTATCAATGACAATTACTGCTGAAGAGTGAAATTTCGAATCTCGAAACAGGGTTGCTGATTAATTGAAAAAATATATGAGGTATTCCACGTCAAATGAGTCAATCGCTGACCCTCACCCTCTTGGACATTAATGGCCATTTTTTCTACGATCGGGGAGGTTGAAAAACTATCTCTCAAATTTTTTCAGATTTTTTCGGCCGCCCAATTCGGAGATGTGATTTTTTTCACATTTTTCCGTTTTTTCCAATAACTCGAGTTCTATTAGTCCAATTTTGATTTATTAAGCGTCATTTTTTACCGCCTATACGACTGTTTTTAGTAAATTTTTTTCCGATTCCTAGATGCTCATAATAACGAATTTTCGAAAAAAAACAGTTGAAAAACTTGAATTTTGCAAATTACGTCACGGTTGATATTCAAATTTTTTTTTCAGTAATTCTCATAATCAAAACAACTATTTTGAGCTGTTATTCAAGTTGGGCATCCTCCTGGATCTATGTTATTTTTAATTGTTTCTTTTGGAAATTTCGCAAATTTGGTCAAAACACCACAAAACGACTTCGACTATGTATCGAAAAAATATGTAATATATAGGTATGCAATCAAATTCACTTCATACTGTCTATAATCAGAGTCAATCAACGCCATTTCGAGGTGTTGCGACCAAATTTACGGAATTTCAAAACGAAAAAATTGAAAATAAAATAGATCCAGGACGATGCCCAACTTGTATGATGGCTCAAAATACTTGTTTTAATTACAAGAATTACTGAAAAAAAAAATGAAACAAATTATCCCTGACGTAATTTGCAGAATTCAAGTTTTTCCAACTTTTTTTATTCGAGAAGTTATGCGCATCTAGAGATCGAAAAAAAAAATTCACTAAAAATATTCTTATAGGCAGTAAAAAATGAAAAATTGTGACGCTTAATAAATCAAAATCGGATGGATAGAACGCGAGTTATTGAAAAAAACCGGAAAAACGAAACAAAAATCATATCTCCGAACTGGGCTGCCGAAAAAATTTGATAAAATTTGAGATATAGTTTTTCAACTTCCCCAATCGTGGAAATCAATAGTGCCCATCAATTTCCAAGAGGGTGAGGATCAGCGGTTGACCCATTTGGCGTGGAATACCTCATATTGAATAATTTCCGTGGTTTTACGTTAGTTGCGATAATTGTTGATTGTTATATATATTATTTTTGATAATGGTTGTAATATCGATAGACTAACCTAAAAAAACAGTAGACCATTGGATCCATCCACTTACCATTTATAAGGTACATACTGTAGAAAATAATGCCTTCCGATTACGGATAAATTCTGTGTTTGCATTCTCAATTAATCAACATTATTTGATAACAAAATGAAAAATTCTGTTAGTTTGCTCAAAAACATCGATGTTCGTGGAAGAAAAATCGATGTTTTTGATTAATCGACAACCATCGCTCATCCCAATTCCTAGGTAGATTTTCCAATGTTGCTACTCTACCTGTTGATTATTCAAATTTTGAAATACTCTCGTGGATGTTGTCAACCAATCAGAGGAGGCGAACTTCATCCGTGATTCCAACCGCCTATCATACGTCTCCAGGATAACTCCCGTCACGGCTAACAATACAAAAGGAGTGCATGTGTCCGTGTATATCGGCTCCCAGCCGCCACAACGAACCACTGCCGGGGTCTACTAAACCCTTTAAATTTAACACCTCCACCAAAATTTTAGTAATCAAATATCATAAATTAAAATGGATCAATTAATTATACTAGTGGCGGCTGTGCACTTGTTGTACTGTCCATTCACCAAAGTGGAGGAATCATTCAATCTTCAAGCTATGCACGACATACTGTATCATGGCTATAACCTGACCGAGGTATTTCCATCATTTGTTTATGTGTTACAGATGTTTGTCAATGACAACAAAATTCTATACGCTAATGTATTATTTTCACTTCCGTATTCTCTCGTATTGGATTAATTGTTGAATTGAAATTCATTGATGAGAAATTGTTACGCAAAAATGTGAGAATTAAATTTAGAAATTGATTTATTTTTAAACCTCGGGATCAGCTGTTCACTTCCTTGTCCATTTAAATTTGAATTTCTTTGATTTCGTTGTCACGTGATGCGATATGAAAATAAGAAAGAAATTAAGGGAAACAGGAGTGAGACTGACAATTCGAAATTCGAAACATAAAAAAAATAATAAAGTAGTAAAGATTTCTTCTTATTTTTTAATATCAATATCACAAGGGGAAATCCGGTTGAAATTTTTCTCGTCGTGACCATGTATTATTTTACTAGTTATTACACATTTCTTTACTGATTATTCTGTGGTATTAATAATTATCGGATTATTTCACTTTGTTTTGATAGTATGACCATCATGAATTCCCTGGAGTTGTCCCAAGAACATTTCTTGGCCCCCTCCTGATATCTGGACTATCATCACCTCTTGTTGCTGCTATTACGCATTTTAGTTTCAACAAATTCTGCGCTCAATACATAGGTATATTCGAAAATTCAACAGCTATTTGATAGAGCGATTTGAGTAAAAAATGAAATCTTTTTTTCCTCGAGAATGAGCAACTTCAGGAGGAAATGTTGAGAGACTGTTTTCATAGTCGAAAAAATCCTTAAAAGGGCAGGAGAGTAAAAAAAACTCCCGAAATGCGAGCAAACCTGAGGGCCGGTTTGTTCATGTACCTTTTGCTCTAAAGGCCCGTTTGTCCAATCATCCGTTTCGCCAGAGGGCTACATGTGTTATTTCAATGGACCGTTTGCTAAAGCTCCGTTTGCAAAACGGGCCTTTTTAGAGGAAAAGGAACATGAACAAACCGGCCCTGAGCTTCATAAATTCTCTTCGTTTGATGAGTTCGAAGACTCAAAAGTTATCACCACCAAATCCTTACTACCACGAAACTGTTATGGAACAAGTTGAGGATGATCTGAGGAGGATAAATAATTCTAAAAAATGTTTAAAAGTAGGGGGCATGCAAGCATCATAGCGGCATCCAGACCTGTCAACCACCTCGTATTTTTAATCAGTTATTAAAAATATTTATTCTCCTCAGATTTTCAGAATTCACCATATGAGGAGAATTCGTGGAGCCCAGATTTACCCACATTTCGGCATTTTTTTTATCCTCTTGCCCTCTTAAAAAACAAAATTCTTGACATTTTCTCAAAAAATGAAAAATCAACAACTTTCTCATTCTAAAGAAAAATCAATGCGACGGAGTGGATCAGGAAGAAAGATATTTAGAATTTTTAATTGTATATTGGCCTGCAGAATAATTGACATTGAGAAAACAATCAAAATTTTTTTGTAGGTACCGAAATTTACAACAATGTCTTCTGATATTTTTCTCTGAATATATTAATTATCGGCATGAATCAATATTCAAGAAGATAAATCGAAATACGCCATTTTCAACATTTTCGTGAATTGTATACTTATCTGAGAGATGAGAGATTCATATAATGTGTTAAGATGTTTCAGACATTTCTTGAAGACGAGAAAATTTGCAACAAAAAATGTCTTTCAACATTTCCTCCTCATTTATCAAACGGGCAAAACCATCTTTCTACGTTTAATCATTTTACTATTGAATTAGCAACTGTTTATGAATTATTCCAATATCTTAGAGACTGACAATTACATTAGACATTAGTAATTTTAAGAGATACTAAGGTCATCACTCAAGTTCAAAGAATTGATAATTGGATAAGTCTTTTGAGATTATTATCTGGATGCAGCTTTTAATTTGAACTAATCCAATATTTGTCTTGCATACAAAAAATCTGGTAGATATTCCAATATTTTCATTTTGAAATATTATTGGCGAAACCTTTTTATAATTTTAAGAAATACATTTTTCTGTCTATTCAATGAATTATAATCAAGACTCGAATTCATCTTTTGATGCATGTTATTCAATTATTCATTGCATTCATTGGAATAAATAACCACAGGAAATTGCATGAAAAATCATGTTGTATTAAATATCTAATGTGAGTTCAAGTATCAAAGTTGTACAAAAAAACACGAGGAAAAAATAGTTGAAAAAATCATCTTGTGAACTAATTCTTTCATTCACATAATTTTATATAATTCTCAAATTCAGTGAAAAATGTATGTTTGATAAAAGATTAGCATTAGGAAGTGTCTTGATGAATAATGTCAAAGTCGTATTATTACTTAATGAATAGAACTAAAAATTGATGGAGACAATTCATGGAAGTGTGAAAATGTTTTGCTACTTGATTTCAATTTTTTCGTTTCTTTTCAGTCAGAGCGGTCTTAGGAATGACTGTTATCGCAGCGCTCCGGTTATATCGACAAGCGCTTGAGAAGATATTTGGGGTGCAATTCACAAAATGGTTCGTTGTAATTACAGTGACACAGTTCCATTTCATGTATTATTTGAGCAGGCCTCTGCCAAATATAATGGCAATGCCCCTAGGTTTGTATCTCATTTATTCACATTGATTAGGAAAAGAAGGAGCATTTGTTTACTTTAATATATGATTAATATATTTGACATATGAATATTCATTTATTGATCATAATGTTTGGTGATTGAGGAATCGTAAAAATTGAACTTAGTTCTAGACTTTTTATATCTTTACTACTAATTTTCACATCAATAATGATGCAGCTAGAGTCAGTTATTTATGGAAATATCGCTACCCCTGTGAAATGGAAAGAATTTTGTAACCGATTAAACATTGAGCATTTTGGAAAATCATTGAAAAATAGTGGAAAAATCATTAATGTTGATCATTTCACTTCATATTGAAGTCTCAGGGGAGTGTATCATTAATATCAATGTATTTTACATTAAAATTAGCTAATAATAATAGGAATTCCAGTGTTAATCTAATTTTTTAATTTTCTCATTATTTTTCTTAGATTTAAGTAATTGCAAAAAAGTGAAAGAATAAAATGAATTTAGAAGAGTCATTTAATTAAAGAACTTTCAAAAACTCTGACAAAAATTTGACAGTTCAGTTTTTTTCAGTTTTATTGGCCTTATATGGGTGGTTGAAACAGAACCACATGATCTTCATATGGTCATCGGCAGCAGCAATAATAATATTTCGTGCTGAATTGTCGATGCTTTTGGGATTATTTCTGTTATATGATATAGGCTACCAGAAACTCTCTGTGCCAAGGTATTTAAATCCCCAACTCACGTAAATATAGAATTCAAATATAGACCAGAAACAGATCCAATTATTATCAGCGCAACTAGGGGATTGTAATATTACAAACATTTACTGTTTTCTTTTCATTTTTCAGATTATTCAAAATTGCAGTCCCTGCTGGAATTTTCTTCTTAGCACTTACGATAGGAGTGGATTCCATATTTTGGAGGAGAATTTTGTGGCCAGAGGGAGACGTTTTTTATTTCAATACGGTGCTCAACAAAAGTAGTCAGTGGGGTGTATCCTTTTTTTAAAATTTAAATAACCGAGAAGATTGCAAAGGAAACGAATGACAAGGATGAAATTTTCATTTGCCTTTTCTTTTTTTCGAAACGTTTATTACGGGAGTTCCATTATTTTGGTAAGGAGTGATGCGAGACACAAATGTGATTTTTTTCTGGAGAATTTGATCGATTACAAGAAAACTAGTGATTTTTTTTTCCTAAAATCCATTTCTTCCCCACGTAATCCTTAAAATGAAATGAAAACCTTATTCAATTCATCTCATTCAAAAATTATCCTGTTATTGTGTTGATAAAATTATCTTACTAATGAATGATATTAGAAAGAAAACAAAAGTCTCTTGTCGTGCAATTCTCAAATCACTCATTATCGAAATAATTCAGGGAATAATTAAAAATTATATGATTCCAATGGTACTTTGTAAATTCGAAAGTTAATTAGTGATCACCACGATAAAAGCCATTTTTCAGTAAAATACCGAGAGGCTCGTTGTAAGAAACTGAATTCTCCAAAAAATTTGTGCACAAACATTTTCTCATGAATTTTCTCCTTTCTGAACAATTCCAAGTTGTAAGAAAAATCAACTCATTTTGTTCAATAATTTCTTCAATTATCAACGGATTTTCCCTCTAAAAAGTTTAATTAGCCGGAAAAAAGATCTCTTGCTCATTAATGCTCATTAATTTACGGTAAAATGATTCAAGTTGAACCATAACGTACTTGGAAAGAAAGTCAATAGAAAAATCAAGCGTTTTCGCTAGAAAATCGTATTGAAATTCTATCGGGAATTCCATTTGATTTTCATTACTTCGATCGAAAAATTGCTCAGTTTTTTCATGGATTTTTCACAATAGAAATTCAATCAAAATATTGCATATAAAAAATCAATAGAATTTAATCTTTTTATCAAACTCACTCTGTTAAGGTAGTTTCTAAGAAATTCTTCGACTTGTCGAAATTTTCGAAGTTTTTTTACTTAAATTTCTTGATGGAAGAAGAAAAAAAGCAGTGAAAAAGGTGACCTTTACTTTCGGACCCGTGGTTTTTAACCACCATGACCCGTTAATCTGGACAAGGACCCCTTGTGATCCTTGTGACCCTTATTTCGCCCCTTGTGAGTCTTAATCTGACCCTTTTGACCCTTTTTCTGATCCTCATGACCATTGTTCTAACCCTCAAGTACCAAATTTATTCCTTGGAGTACCAAATTTTCATCACTAGAAGTAGATTTGATCATAGAAAATCATTCTATTCTGGAAATCACTGAACCACCCGATTGAGGAGTGACCAGCCCCGCGGAACTTTCCCGAACCCCTCAAAAACATTACAAAAGATTTTTCCTCAACCTTAACTTCAGACATTGCCATTCTTTTGGTACTTCTATTCGGCTCTGCCCCGGGGTCTGGGTTTCTCCAGCCTGCTCGTCCCTCTCGGAATGCTCTGGGACGCCCGAGTGCGTGCCCTAGCAGTCCCTGCAGTGATCTTCGTCCTCCTCTTCTCCTTCCTCCCGCACAAGGAGCTCCGCTTCATCATCTACGTATTCCCCCTCCTCAACATTGCCGCCGCCTCCGTCTGTCACAGAATCTGGCAGAACCGAGCAAAATCCACTCTCTGGGCTATACTCTCCCTGGGCATCATAGCGCACCTCATTCTCAACGCCATAGGATCGATGTTCTTTCTCTGCGTTGCAGGCTCCAATTATCCAGGGGGAATGGCCATCATGAGGCTCCATAGACTCGAAAGAGACACCAAAACCCCACTGAATGTCCACATCGACGTTCTAACTGCTCAGACTGGAGTCTCCAGGTTTACTCAGCTGAATCCAAAGTGGAGTTACTCGAAAGTAGAAAACATCAGTTATGACGATCCAGAGGCCCTTCAGCAGTTCACGCATCTGTTGATGGAAGCCAAGAGTAAATACTCACCTAATATAAAGCCTTATCTCAGAACTCATGATATTCTTGATGCTATCGATGGATTCTCTCATATAGCTCTCAATTATAATATGATTCCTCCGGTTAAAATCAAGACGAAACCGACTATTTTTATTATGAAACGAAAATCAATTGTTGGTGGAGGGAAAGAGAGGTTCAAAGAATTTGGAATGGTTCCTGAGGAGATTAAGGGGTTTCAGGAGAAAAATGATGAGGACGAAGAGGTGGTGGAAGACATAGAAGAGATAGAGGAGAAAAAAGTGAATTATTTTGAAGAAGAGGGAGTGGAGGAGGAAAAAATTCTTTCTGCTGGAGAAGTATTGGATTCGATTCAAGGGGAGTCTTCGGGAGAGAGTAAAGAGGTTGATGGTCAACAGACGACTGAAGACTCCATTATTAATGAGTCCATTCAACAAGAAGAACATAACATAGTAGTTGATAAATTGCAGATGAAAGCTCCTGCAGCTTTAAAACTCGATGATAAATCGAAAAAACAACCTGAAATTATTGACAAGAAAAATAATAAAGTAGAAATGCGATTGCTTGAAGCGAAATTGGAGGAAATTCAAAGGGACATTAATGAGAGACGAAAAATGGAAGTGGAGAAAAATGTGAAAATTCAGAGAAAAATTCGTAAAAAATCTGAAGACATCCCAGATTCAACTGTGGAAATCGAAGAGAAAATAAAAGTCGAGAGAAGGATTCCGAAAAGATCTGAGCCAATTCTAGACAGAATGGAAGTGATTAAAAACTCGTCAGAGGTCGAAGTTAAACCTTCAAAACACGAGAGAATAATTCAGAAAAAAATAGAGCAGGTTTCCACTGAGTCTCCTGAACCTGTCAAGGAGGATAACGGGCTCAAGGTAGCAATCAGAAAATTAATTCTAACAAAGAAAGAAGAATTAGAGGCAAAACAAGAAGTGCAATTTCAAACCCTTGAAGATTCTCTAAAAATTGAGCCAAAAATGAAACGAAAAATTGTAGATAGTGTTGCGAAAACATCATTGCCAGTCATCAGGAAAGAATCGGAAGAGCTCCACACGAAGCAACAACCGAAGAAATCTACCGGAATGAAAATAGCAACTGTGAAGGATAGTATAAGAAATATAATAAATCAGTTCAAAGAGTTCGAGAAGGATTTGGCGTCTGAGGACCCTGAGTCGATGAAGAAGTGGTCGTCCGCGGAGTCAGCAGCTGCTTCTACTCTCGATTCGGCCGAGGGGGTTGATCAAATAGGAGCTGTCTCCCTCGAAGCCAATTTCCATGAAGTCGATAAGTTGATTGTCGAAACTGACGATCCGATAGTTCTTAATGATGCCAAAAAGTGTCTCAAGGAGATTATTGACCAGTTCAGGATTCTTAGGAGTGAACTATCGATTGAAGCTGATGATATGTTCGAGGAGATAGCTGAAAAATTCATGGAGAGACCCATTTCCGAGACTCTGATGTACTTCAGTGAAGCTCTGAGGGATTTGATGGAGAAGAGGAAGGAGAAAGTGAGGAGAATCGATGGGAGCTGGAAGAAAAATTCGGGGAATGGGGAGAGGAAGAACATTGCGATGAGGAGGCAGAGGGGGCAAGATGGAAACAGTGATTTATAAGAGTTCTTAGACAGATGGTCGGTTTTCTGTTTTTTTTTCTTTTCAGTGAAAAAGCCTAAAAGTTTTCAACACAAGAGTGGATTTACACACGTCGTGTTGTCGTAGGGTTTTTGATACTCGTCACGAAGGGCTTTTAAACCTCCCGCAAGTGTAACGAACCTTAGACGCGTTTGAAAGCGACTATTTTTATTGCCTATTGGAGAGGAAAAACTAGAGTAGCATTTTTTTATTCATTCCTAAAATGATTTTTCAGTTGAAGAGAATTTTTATTAATTGAAGAGTTATTCATGAAGTGAATAATTTGCGAAAAAATGCCGTAATAAATTTGGTATAAGAAAAATAATTTTAATGAAAACAATGAAAATCATCCTCATTTTCTATTTTTTTTCGCCCATTAAGAAACTCTTATGACTATTTCTCCTAGGATCGCTGGTCACCGAGATGATTCAACAATTAATGATTGACTATGCAGGCATGAATGACCTTTTTTCTTAAGAATTTCATTGTTCACTCAGAAACTTTTACAATCTTCTGATTTTTCTACTCAATCAACTGTTGTTATTAAATAAAAAACATCAGAAATTGATGATTATTTAGTTTTTCCTCTCCAATACAACTGAATAAATAGGTACGTTGCATGCTGTGATATGAACACAAGGCTACAAATTACATTGAATGGTTGAGAGGAACCAACACACGTTCTACACTGGACTTTTGCATTTAGATACAGAGTTGATGTTTCATGTGCTCAAATGATTCCTTTTTCCAAGGAATCGAGTAACGAGTTGCTAGGATAGGTGGAATGTTCACATGTGCCTTATTGAATCTTCCTGAAGAAATTTTATTATGGACTACAAAGTGTATGATTTATGATAAATAGAAGTGAATGAAATGTATGTGAAAAATATATTATTGTTGTTGTTGAATGTTGAAAGAAATCTTTTTGAGACATCACATTTCCTTTTTCCAGCAGATTCCCATTAGATTTTTTTTATATTTTGTACGACGAATTCAAGACACATGATCAGGCCTATTCCTAGGAGACCCAAGGTAGCTCTGTAGAGAATCTTATCTTTGGTGCCTCCTTTTAGATAAACTGGAACTCCATCGTCTTGCTGTTGAGAGGAAAATTAATTAAATTTTTAACGTAGATACATCTACGGTTTCGTTTTGGGCGGCCATTTGGTAAAAAATGCGTATGCAGCCGCGCCATCTATCGGCGGTGCTCGCTGTCGATACATTACCAACCGTCGCTCGATCGGTAAGTTACCGACAGATTGTTAGTCATAGACATTTCCAGTGCAGAAATTTCTAGATTCAAAATTCCGTATAAAAGGATCGGAACGCTCCGCTGTCAGTCGTAAATTGGCAATCAAAGAGTTAAGGGACTTCCGCAGTAAGTATACTTGGGAAAAATTTTGAAATTGTATAAAGACGCAATATTTGGATCATATGTTGTTGCCCACATTAAAAAGATATTCCCAAAATTTCAAGTCCCTGGTCCACCCCATTTTTGAGATATGCATCGCCAAACATTCAATTTTTGGGTTTTTCCATTTTTGACGACGTATATCTCGAAACTGGGGTGGACAAGGTACTTGAAATTTTGGGAATAGTTTTTGAATGTGCTCAACAACATATGATCCAAATATTGCGTCTTTATACCATTTCGAAATTTTCACCAAGTATACTTACTGCGGAAGTTCCTTAACATCGTAGAAAGTGAAGAGTGTAAATATCTGGTGCAGTGGTAAGGTCAGTCTAGATATTGACGTGGATACGTCTATAGTTTCAATATGGGGGTCATTTTGGTAAACGGTCCTTATGTGCAGCGCCATTTATCGGAATTCTAGAAAATTCTAGACATTTCGAGGTAATTTGAGAAGTTTCTTGAAATTTCGAAAAAAGCCAAAGAGTTTGTAGAAATTTCGAGAAAATTCAGGGAGTTTCTAGAAAATTCGAGGGAATTCAAGGAATTTCTAGAAAATTCGAGAGAACTCAAGGAATTTCCAGAAAATTCGAGGGAATGCAAGGAGTTTCTAGGAAATTCGAGAAAGAAGGAAAGACCATGGACGTATCCACGTACAATTACAGCTGTATGGAAGTCACAGCCGCCTGCAATTTTTTTTCTTACTTTGAAATTTACTTGGGGGCTATTCACATTTGTAATCATTGTGTAATAAAATTGAATCGCAGCAAAATAAATTCAATCATTGTAAGCACTGAAATCACATGATTACATTTTGTGGAATTTGTGTTTGTAATCAAGATATAATTATTTGATATGAATGTAATCATTTCAGCTCGTTTCAATCATGTACATGAATTTTAGTCCCTCAAAGCCAAAATTTCTACTAATCAGTCAACTGTACCATAATTACATGCACTTGAAACAAATTTATAGAAATGCATAGCAGAATGGCTAGAAAAGTATTAGTTTATCGCCGATTCTATTGAAAAATTCCGAAATAGGATAGAAAATAGAAAATATTGAATAAAATTACAAACACGACGAGGTCTGCAGCTCATATCAGCTAGGAAAGTTCTTTTTGTTATAACAACTATAGATAGGCAGGGAATGATGGCCGAAATGACAAAGAAGTAGGCACATTTCGATTGCTCTACAATTTATTTTCTTGAAATTCTCCCTATATAGATATCCTTGGACATGAATTTTGGGAAGTAGTTACACTAGTTTTTTTTCATTACAAAATCCGATGATGAAAACTTGAAAGTTCATGCTGAAGATTCCTTACAGAAAAATTGCAGCGAATAAGTCGTATGGGAAAATTGACATTTATTGGTTTATTTATATTAAATGTATATTAAAGAATCGTGCTGCAGAATACAAGAATTTTCTAGCCAATGTACGAGGTTTTCTATTGAATTTTATCATACCTGTTAAAGAAAGAAAAATGTTATAGCCTTGCTTTCATTTTCCCCAAAATGCATCTGCGCAAATTTGGTGGATATCATTGAATTTTGACGTATTTCAGAATGGAGCTATCATTTTTTTTCCATTTAAAATTTTTGGAATAAATAAACGAAAAATTTCTTACAGAAATTTTGAATATTTTTTCGTTCTGGCAGAAATTTATGAAGCTTCGAAGATTTTGATTGACAAAAAAATTGAATTATTGCGAAATTAATGAGTGAATTACCTGAAACAATGCTTGTTTTTCCTTCAATTTCTTCATTTTAGGATTATCTTTGAATGAATAAAGCGATCGAGTCCATATTTTTGCATTTCTTCGTTGTAAAAATGTACGAGGCAGCCTCATCCAACTAGACATTTTTATTTCTCCTCGATCTCGCGGTCGTTCCGTTTGTCAACTGTTTCACCTTTTTCTTTACAATCATTTGCTAAAGTTTTGAAACGATCTGAACTTGTATCCTATGCATTTTGTTTCAGAACTTTAATAAACGACTAGTGATGCTGTCGAGACTAGTCGAGAATTATTTTGGAGAGATCATCACGGTCTGGAAAAACATCGAAAGTTTTGGAATCGGCGCCATCTCGAAAGACATTGGATCGGTGCATCTCGTCACAATTCCGGGAGGATCTATCTTGCCTGAATCTCGAGATTTTCGGTTTTTTAAGTTCACGGGACGAGACGAGGCAGATATCGAGACAAATATTTGAAAAACAGAAAATACTGAAACTCAGACGTGATTGATTCTTCCACGTTCGTGACGAGATGCACCGATCCAATGTCTTTCGAGATTACGACGATTCCTAAACTTTCGATGTTTTTTTAGACCGTGATGATCTTTCCAAAATAATTCTCATCTAGTCTCGACGGCATCACTATAAACGACTGCACACACAGATAAATCGACATGATGAACGCGAATTCCAACAATTATTAATAACAACTCGACAACTCGACAGAATTTCACTCTCTTTCATCCCTACGATGAACCTTCATAATGCTCTTTGTGATTCATAAGAATGGAATACACACAGAAATTTTCATACACGGAGACAAATTCTTTAGAAAAATTCAAGGGCTGGCATGAAAAAACAAGGATGGGGGCTATTCTTGACTTGTTTGAAGACGGGTTCGGTTGTGAACGAGGCTTCATACTCGGATTGCGTATGATAATCGTATAGGCAATACGTGAACGAACGCCCATTTACACACGAATAGACGTAATATTTAGATGAAACGGAATATTGACTAACGATCATACTTTCAATGAAAACAATTCAGCGAGGATTTAAACCTCTTTAAATAAATCACAGCGATCTCTGTCTCTATAGTAGACTCTCGGTAGTTGCGCATCGAAAGGGTTGTAGGGGTACCCACTTCTACTGAATCCGAAACTTTACATCCGCCCCCACACCTCAACCACCGCCGACCCAATTCTCGGAAAAATGAGAGGAAATGAAGTTTTATTTTCAAATGAAATAAAACTTTTCATCTTGGGCAGGCGGGTCTGCGTTCAAGCATTCGAGAAAGGGTTTAAGGGAAGATGCAAAACTTACAGGTGTGTAACTAGTGAGAGTTTACTCTATATCACTGCAATGAAATTTCATCAAATATTACATAACAAAAATAGAAAAGAACATAAATTTTTGTTACATGACTTCTCAAGTCATCCAGATGCGCAAATCATTGATAAAATGACGATGGGTAATTTTTTAGGAAGAAAAGTTTAGATAAACTGCTACATGCCAGGATGTACTGATCGATCGATACAAAATTTTATACATAAGTGTGATTCAATAATACTAATTAATATTATACAAATTAGTAGGCAGACTCTTAGATGTTTATTCCAAGTTTTACTAAATTCTTACATCATCAATAATCTTGGTATTTATACAGTAAGAATTAGGATTTTGCTAAATAGTCGTCTGACGATGAATAAACTTGGAATTCAGTTTCAGCTCCGATGTTAAGTTCCATTGCCTCTTAAATGATAATTTTGAAATTAAAATATTTGCAAACAATATTACATTATATCACAAGGCCGATAACAGCTATTGACACGTTCGTTTTGGAGCATTCTGTAAGGAGTATTATCGAAAAATCTGTGTCCAAAAGAATGGAAGGAGTCGTCCAAAAAGCTGTAGAAGGAATTGGGGAGAGAGCAGTTGAGAGAGCTATCAATGAGATTTCAGCGGGAGTTGTCAGAGATGTACCGTAGGAGCTCATTAAACCAATTATGAGATCCGCAGATAGGTCTGGGTTTCTCACTCAGATTTCTGAAAACTGAATGGTCGAAAATTGTGCACGCCATGATAGTGCACAGACCAAATATTCCAGCGATAATTAATCCACATACAAAATGTTCATATACATCTCGAGGCATATTAACCGAATTTTCGAGCACGAGATGTTGATCAACTCACACGCTGTAGTAGAAATACAGGGTGTCCCATTTGAAAAAATGTGGCCAAATATCTCCTAAGGCGGGCAAGTAACAACAAAATGTTGAATACAAAAATTGTAGGGTTTCGAGGTGGCCATTAGAGACATTTATTATTTTGAGCTTTCAAGCTCATGCTTGCAAGCTGCAAGCACAAAGTGCTTTTTTAAAAATAGGAACCGCATTTTTCATCCCAATGAAACTTGTTCATCTTGATGAGTTGTTTTCAGATACCTCGTCATTCATGTAATTTCCTCTAATTTTACTCGAAAAATGCCACAGAAACGAGTTCTGTGGTCAAATTGAAGATTCAGACTTTTTTTTAGCGTGACTCAGGATGCACCACGTGGAGGTAAAGTCTACTTCACATCTCTTGCGCTAAAAAAAATGAAAAAAATAGCGCCCCCTCTCTCTTCTACAACTCCTTTCAATCTTCTGAATAACTGAATCTGTAGGATAATGTAGGCGATTGCGGTAGCACTCTCGCCACGTTCGAGCAGCGGCTCGATACACTCCTCTACACATTCCCAAAACAAGTAAAATATCGACAATTTCACTGGCTGAATACATCGTGATGTGTTTAATAAAATGACAAGTGATACTAACTTGATTCTGGTTGAATTGGCACTGATTAGAATAAAAGAATCCTCGAAGTAGTAGGATAGTACATTATGTCATCAGGTGATAAAAGTATTATCTGGCGAATGTCAGAGGCGGCTCATGCGGGTGGCAAACCTGGCGGCTGCCAGGGGCCCCGAGCTCGAGGGGGGCCCCGAAATTCGGCGGTGGCGATCGAAATCGTAGTACCGAGCTGATTCATAATTCAATTTCAAAAAAATGTGCAATTTCATATAGGTGATGAGCAGGGCCCGGGACTTCGTGTAACTCATACCGAGTCAAGAGTGAATATTATATGGAATCATCTTTTTTCTTTTACTATGCACGTTGAAACGAAACGTATCGACATTCGAATCTTTTTTATTGGTTATCGGTTCTCGGAACTGAATGTTTTGAGTATAACGGCCGGCCTGGCATAAACAAACTGTCTCAGAGCTGATGCTAAAGTCAGTATATGAAGAGACTTCCTCAGTGCAACTACTCTCGTTTTTTATTATAAAATTAACGGTCATTCTGTGTTCTGTCCATTTTACATAGTTTTGAGAGTGAATCTATTTGGATTTTGAATGGTAAGTACGATGATCGACCTTTATGATTGTGCCAAAGTGAAACGCGATTCATAATCATCAGAAAATTCATTTTTCATTTTTCAATTGGGAAAAATGAAGCTGTATCAGTCGGGAGCAGAGAAAAGAGAAAAATCTAAACGAATTTGTGTGCACATTGAGACACAGAAAAATTCTCTGGAGAAGTTTCTCGTTATCAATGAGGCTGGTGAGTCATCTACATCTTCACGTCCCCCGTGTCATCGTATCGTTAATGAACGACCTACAGGTTTAGACGAAGAAAAAAGTAAACCTGAAACTGTGACCTCTGACAAGGAGCAGAATCGAGGAGAAAACATTAAGGGATATTTAGTGGATAAAGGCGTTTTTAATGAACCAAACGATGGAGCATCAGAGGCGATAAAAATTGAGCCCTGCATCAGTGATAACATTGCTCGGTGGCCTACGGAATTATCCGACGCAAGGATCGAGCATATTATCACGAATAAATCAACGAATTTTGGGGATATAAAGAGTTTAAGATCCGTTTGTAAGGATAAGAATGAGCTGCATTATAGGGGTCTCTCACACAATCATTTTTATCGTATCAAATAGAATGGTCTCAAAGAGAAAAGGAACTGGCTTGTTTTTTCAGAAACGAGTAAAAGTGTATATTGTTATCCTTGCAAAATGTTCTCCACATCGAAATTGAAACTCATTACGGGATTCCAAAATTGGAAAGCGATCACTCCAACTCTGTCAAACCATGAACATTCAAAAGAACACATTTCATCCATGTGTACTATGTACAGAAGATCTTCAACATTGAATACAATCGACACTAATTTATTGCTGCAGAGAGAAAATGAACAAAGTTATTGGAAGCAAGTATTGTATAGAGAGATATCCACCATCAAATTGCTGAGCAAACTCGGTCTCGCATTGTGAGGTCATGATGAAGGTCAAAATTCAAATCGGAAAGGGAATTATTTGACATGTTTGGAGTACTTGAGTGAATACGACGAGTTCCTGAAGCTACATTTACAACGATACGGCAACCCAGGGCGAGGAAATGTCAATTATTTATCCCATGACATTTGTGATGAATTCCTCAGCATCATTAGTAAAATGGTGTTGGAACGCATTGTTGAAAAACTTCAAGCAGCAAATTATTATAGCTTAATACTTCTATTATAATACTTCTCTTAATACACTATTCAACGGATCTGTTCTACTGAAATCTTTGGAGAATTTCATTAGGGAATTGCGTAATAAATTTTCTGATGTTGAGGAAGAAGCGAGGGAGTTAACTTCCTTGAATTTTGAGGATCAGAATGGACGTAGGGCACTGACGAGGAAAGCTTTTTTCGATGAAAATGACAACGAAAGTGAATCATTCACAACCAGAGAAAAATCGATTTTCGATTCGTTCCATGTTATCTGTGACAGTCTGATAGCAGAGCTTGTTCGTAGACATGAAGTATACAACGATACTATACAACATTTTAACGTATTTTTCGATTTGAACCCGGCGTGTTCACTGAAAAGCACCTACGTTGAAAAAATAAAAGACATCTACAAGGACGACATAGACGTCGTTCATTTTGATGATGAACTGGAACAGTTCTTACTATTTTTGAAAGAAGAGGAGAAATCAG